TCAAGCAGGAGCTATAAAATATCTGTTCAAATACCTTAATAAAGGTTCAGACAGAGTATCATTCAAATACACTATCAACGATGAAGTTGTCAAGGAGACTTTAGATACAGGTCCTAAAGATGAAGTCAAAGATTGGTATGAAGGTAGATATTTGTCAGGTTGTGAGGCTGCGTGCCGTATGTTTGAATTTCCAATACATTACAGGTCGCATCACGTTGAACGTCTCAGTTTCCATATGCCTGGTCATCAAAGTATTGTCTACGATGAAGATCAAACTGTTGAAACTGTTGTCAACAAAGCTTCTAACAGACATTCAATGTTTAGTGCTTGGATGGAAGCTAACAGCATTTATCCTAAAGCTAGAGAACTTACGTATCTAGAATTCCCTAAATACTTTGTTTTGAAAAGAAAAGAAAAGGTGTGGATGCCAAGACAAAGAGGTTCAGCTATAGGTAGAATCCATAGAGTCCCTATAGCTTCAGGTGAACCTTATTATTTAAGGGTGTTACTAAACATAGTCAAAGGTCCAACATGTTACGAAGATATCATGACATAAACATTCAACATTCAAAGAAGCTTGCTTTGCAAGGGGTTTACTTGATAATGACAAAGAATAATACATTGACTGCATAAAGCAGGGTTCTACATGGGGATCATCAAATTACTGCAGAAATCTTTTTGCACAATTATTAGAAGGTGACATTGTTTCTGACCCTTATAATGTGTGGAACTTGACTTGGGAATGTTACACGGAAGATATACCTGGCAAATTGAAATGGATATATAGAAATGAAGGTATTTTCTTCATTATTCAAATTTTAAATTTTTACAGTCATAAATCTGTTATTGTATGTTATAAATGTCTAATTTTATAAATGGTTTCATTATTATACAGATTATCAAGTATCTGAAGATGAGATGAAAATGCATGCATTGAAGGAAATTGAAATTATTTTACGTTCACATGGAAAAAGCATTAAGGAATTCCCTGGTTTGCCATATCCAGGTGACGTTTTTATTGATGAAAGTATGAATGCCATGATCCATGATGAATTAGATTATGATAGAGCATTATTGAAGGAAGAACATGATATGCTTTACTCTAATCTTACTGAAGAACAAAGAAAAGTATACAAAGAAATTCTGGGTGCAGTTACAAAAGGAAATGGAGGTTTGTTCTTTGTGTATGGTTATGATGGAACTGGGAAGACGTATGTATGGCGCACATTATCTTCTGCAATTCGTAAAGAAGGAGATATAGTCCTCAATGTGGCATCCAGTGGCATTGCTTCTTTACTTTTGGTGGGTGGCAAGACTGCTCATTCAAGATTTCAAATTCCAATAAATGTTACTAATGAATCTACATGTACTATCAAGCCAGGCAGTGATTTATGTGCTTTGGTGAAGAAAGCAAAACTTGTTATATGGGATGAAGCACCAATGGTTCATAAGCATTGTTTTCAAGCCTTAGACAGATCACTAAAGGATGTACTAAGACATACTAATCCAAATGCCACAGAACAACCTTTTGGAGGAAAAGTTGTTGTTTCTGGAGGTGATTTCAGGCAGATTTTACCAGTTGTTCCAAAAGGTACAAGAGCAGATATTGTGAACTCTGCAATAAATTCATCTTATTTATGGAGATATTGTAAGGTATTGAAGCTTACTGTTAATATGAGGTTACGTAATGGGAATAGCACTGATGAAAATGAGGGGATACGTGATTTTGGTGAATGGTTGTTAAAGATTGGAGAAGGCAAGATCAATGAACCTAATGATGGGGAAGCTGAAATTGATTTTCCAGATGATGTCATCGTCCAAGATCTAGGAGATCATATAAAAGCCATTGTGAATAATGTATATCCAGATTTATGTAGTAATTTATCAGATGCTGCATGGTTTCGTGAAAGAGCAATATTAGGCCCAACACACGATGTTGTTGACGCTGTTAATGACTACATGATAGGATTGTTACCAGGAGAAGAACATGAATATTTGAGTTCAGACAGTATGTGTAATTCAGAACATGGAACTCAATTTGATAAGGGAATTTATACTCTTGAATTCTTAAACAACGTTAAAGTTTCTGGGCTTCCTAATCACAGGTTGGTTTTAAAAAACAATGTTCCAGTCATATTATTGTGTAATGTTGATCAACGGAAAGGACTTTGTAATGGCACAAGGTTACAGATTACACGAATGGATTGGTACATCATTGAAGGGAAAGTCATATCTGGAAGTAACATTGGGGATATTGTACCTATTCCAAGGATGAAAATAATTCTTACTGATAACACTATTCCATTAAAAATGAAGAGGAGATAGTTTCCTATAGCGGTATGTTTGGCTATGACCATTAACAAAAGTCAAGGTCAGTCTCTTTCTACTGTTGGTTTATATCTACCACGACCTGTATTGAGTCATGGCCAACTATATGTTCACTGTCAAGAGTTAACATCTAAGAAAGGTTTGAAAGTTTTGATTTGTAACCCTGATGAAACTCGGTCCAAAACTACGACTAATGTTGTGTACAAAGAGACTCTAAGGAATGTTAGATAGTCTATACTGACTGTCAAGGTAATGTAGATTAGTTTACAGTGTGTAATTTTTACATGAATGTCCGAATTTTCACCACTACTACTTTATTTCCATACTGTCACATTTCTTATTATATTCACATTCATTCATTTACATTTAATTATAAGCAGAATTCATTCACTTTACATAAAATAAACAATAGTATAAAAAAAATAGTCTTATATTTTTTAATCTAATACTTTGTTTTGAAATCTGAATCAGAACATGCACCAGGAAATATAGTTTTCATATATACACAATGAGCTATTATACTATGCATGTGTACTAAAACCAATAGAGCTGTTCTCTATGAAAATCATACCATTGTGATATTGAATAAAGTATTGATCTAGGATGAATATAATTCCTCACCTTATTTAAATTTCATCAGAAATTCCCGTTGTCCATTCTAATCCCATGAAGTTTACAGATGCTAGGACTGTAGCAGCTCGGTTCTCAACTCGAACATCAGAATTTAGATCAATGCAGGAAAAAAATTCATAGAAAACCACAATAAATTAGGTTCTATATATTATAAAATACTTTGCATAATAAATTACATATAGGTTAATACCAGATTAGTAAATAACAATAAACGAAAAAATCATTACCTTCTAAATGTGAATCTTGGAGAAGGAGAATACATTCCATTCAGCAATCCTCAACTTTGTAACTTGAAGATTTTAAATGTTTAGCTCAAACGATACAGATCTAATACTTTCAGATCTGCACAGTAGAAGAGGATGAACAATCTGAAAATAGATCCCTTCTAGATGAAGAATCCCGACTTTCCCCAAAATTGAATCCAGTTTAAACAAAATTAATGGAACCATTCATCACCCTGCAAATCATAGAGCCCGAGTATAATGTGGTAGAAAAGATTTTTGGAGACAAAAATGGGAGTCATTTTTGGAAACAAAAAATGGGAGTCATTTTTTGAGCAGAACCGGGAGTGTATTGTTTTCTCCGAAGGAAGAATCCAGATATAGTCAACTTTCTGAAAAAAACAACTGTCCTCCATTAAATGCATGTACTGTTTTTTTTTTTTTATAAAAAAAACAAATTGGATTCACATTTTTTTGGACTTCATGCCATATATATAGGTTCACAATTGGACTTATTCAATTTATTTGTTTTTTTATCAATTGGGCCTGCAAAACCAATCTTCCTTAACAATTGTATGTTTTATAATTTTGGCCTTTCCAATTTGGACATGCTTTCATCATAATTTATAAAAAAAATACTACTGAATATAGTTATACATATATTTTTTTTATGATTACTAACTGTAAAATAGTATAATTCCTTTTTATTAATAATTCAAATTTGCAAACAAACCAAAATTAGTAAACATACATATTAGGACTAATAAAACATATATTTATGTATATAATCAACTTTGCTTAATTATTTATATTTAATTAAATTAAATAAGGAGGCGCCCGGGCCAGATATCTAGTTTCATTTAGTTTATTATGATCTTTTTAACATTGTTAGTAATGTAGGTTTAGCGTGGATCAAGATATTGTGACAAAATTTGATGAAATCAAACAATTAACTTTTCACCGTCTCATTTCATTTATTTTATACGATCTTATAACATTATTACTAATGTATGGATCACGATAGTTTAACTTTGTATTAGTTTATAATATATTACACATCTCATCTCACTATTTTTAGCTCTAGAAGTTAATGTATATAATTTTCAACATTTTAAAAGTGTAACACAAAATGTCATAAAAAATTAAAAGATTAACAAAAAAAGTCAATTTCTATCATGAATGATAAAATGTGTTTATTTTCAACAATGATAGAAAACAAACGGCAAGATAACGAAAGAAAAAAAAAGTACTTCAGCGAATTTGGCGCACTGTCCCTATCAAATGTAGGACATCTCCATTGATAAACCAACCTCATTTCTTAAACTGTCCACGTTAACATTCAATTAACAATAATTAATATTAAATTTTAATACACCTCTCCCACAATGGTATAAACTAGTTTATAAAAAGAACCCATCATAGAATCCACTATAAAATTACATCAATTTTTATTAAAAATTATAAATTTTAAAATAGAAAATAAATTTGGAATAATTAATCAGTATTATATAATTTTTGGCCGTTGAATTTTTTTTTTGACCACAAGAATTTTAACAAAATAAAAAGAACAAAAATTGCCATTTTATTGTCAAAATGAAAATAGCCATTTGTATAGGAAAAAAAGAGACAAAAATGGACCCAGAAGATGATGTGGTTTGTTTTCACTTATTTTTTTTAAAAACATGGCCCGTCAGAATTGACTTTCTTCATATTTATGGGTATAAATTTTTTTTTTTCCCCTCCAACTGTCCGCAATGACAATTCACCCGTTTATGGAGAATGAATGGGCCAGTTGTCAGAATAAACTTCCCCATAAACGGGCCATTGGGATGCTCTCAATTAGTGGCGTACCATGCAAAATGGTCAAGAAACCCAATGGTTCACAAACATATATGCAAAGTTAATGGCTGGGAAACATGCAAAGTGTTGGATTCCAAGTGCATTTGCACTTGTGATAAGGGAGTATCTGGCCTCACCCAATTCTAGCCAATCATGCGCAATCTTTTTATTGTTTCTGATCACCCTTTTGATTTCACTCCCTCAAATTGCACTCATTTCTTATCTCTCCAAAAAAAAATCCCAAAATTTTTTTAGCCCACAACACAAACACACAAAAAGACCCCATACCATATGGAAAACAAACAAACTAAACAAGAGGCGTTTTTTTCCTCTCCCATTTTTGTTTCTTCACAAACACACACACAGTGGGAAGCCCTTTCTGGCTCTTTTATTCTGTGCTTTTTGATTGGTTAATTAATGGCTGCGAATTATTTCAACTCCATTCATCACCACCACAATCACCACCGTCTGCGGAGGCGCCACTCTATCGACTGCCCACCCACCACCGCTACAAACTCTTCATTTTTCAGCCTAAAACCGGCCAGAAAATCAAACAATTCTCTTTCTCGTTCAATTTTAACCACATTTTCACTGTCCTCCACTTCTTCTTCTTCTGCCTCCACTTCAATTTCAAGTACTTCCCAGCAACCTGCCATCAATTTCGACCTTCTCCAACAACATTTATCGGCTCAAAACTTCCGGGAAGCCGACGAAGAAACCCGAAGGCTCCTAATCGTTTTGGCAGGGGAAGCAGCCCAGAAAAGGGGTTACGTGTTTTTCTCCGAAGTTCAATTCATCTCAGAAACTGATCTCAGAACAATCGACGAGCTCTGGAGGAAATACAGCGACAACAAATTCGGGTACAGTGTGCAGAAGAAGGCGTGGAATAAAGTGAACAAAAACTTCAGTAATTTCTTCATCAAAGTTGGATGGATGAAGAAATTGGACACGGAGGTTGAGCAGTACAATTACAGGTCGTTCCCGACTGAATTCATGTGGGAAAACAGTGAGGAAACTCCTCAAGGGCATTTGCCATTGACAAATGCTCTGAGAGGGACCCAATTGCTCAACGCCATTCTAAGCCATCCTGCTTTTGAAGGTGGTAATGATGATGAAGAAGATCAAATTGGAATAGTGGGCAGTGATAATGGTGGGCTGAAAAGTAGTAGAAACAATGGTAAGCTGCCATTGAACAAAAGAGTGTTCAAAACAGATTACACTTTCTAGATTTTGCCAAATTCGTGTGTGTGTGTGTGTGTGTGTGTGTGTTTTACCCAAATTGGAATGAAATTGGTGAATATAGGGATGAAAAAAAAACCCCCTTAATTTTTGTCAATTAAATTGGTATTTGTTTATATTGTTGAATTTTATATAGAAAAGCATTGATAACATCGATTGACTGAAAACTTTGATCTTTCTTCCGTTTTCACTTGCTTTGTTCTGTTCCTCCTCTTTTTTTTCTTTTTCTTTTTCGGGAGAGTATTTAATATTTATTATATCATCCAACAAGAACTCTTAATTGTAAACGTTGTAGGTTCACATCTATAGAAGGAAATGAAAACGTTGTTACGTTACCCTTTCAGGATGGTTCTTTTCAGTTCCTCGAATGTTATATAAAATGGTCATCAATTGTAACGGAAATGATGGTAGCGGAAATGATTAATTATTTCAAAATTATTATTAATATTTTTCGGGATTTCTAATTCAAAATTTTCAATCACAAATTTCTAATTCTGATTCACTCTTGGATTTATACTTCACAATTTTTAACTGTGTCTATTGTACTATATCATATCCAACTGCAGTATTACACATTTCTCATCTAATAGGATACTGGCAATTTAGTCTTCAAGTGTTTGACAAGTTGTTTTACATTGATATGCCCCATAAAAACTCTTTTGACATATTTTCTATAAGAAAAACTCTTTGTACTTTTTTAAGTTTAATAAAAATAATACGTTTGGTCTAGATAAAGGCAAAGTAAAAATAAGATGGTTCTTTTAGAAATAAATGAATGTCAAAAATTGTTAAAGACATTCACCCACCGAATGTTTACATTAATGTAAAAGAAGAAAATTGAACATTGTTGTCTGTCACATATGCCAATAAATAGAAATGCTTAAGCAATGAAAATTTTCCACCGAATGAATCATTTTCTCCTTCCTCTTTCATTTGGTTTACGAAGTAAAAATTACTCCGCTTTATTTTCTTCTTAAATCTTACAATTAATCTCATTATATATAATCTATTAGAAAGTAATTATATTAAAGTCTTTAGTAGAGAAGTTAAAATATCATCACTAAAATAATTAATTAATACCTTGTTTTAAATCATTGTATTTAGACCCTAGTTTTATAACACGTTATCAGCGCGACGTTTCTGCAATCCACAAAGGTATAAATTTCTTATCCAATTTATACATTTCATATGAATGGTTCTATAAGACCTCCTAATTTATATTTAAATCATTTAATTTTTTGCAATTTATTTAAAGACTTGTCCTTGCTCAAGTCATGAGTTTTATGTTTAGAGTGGGATGCTTTAATATCTCCCTACGTAAATACTTATAACTTACATTCTTGTGAGATGACTTCATATATCCCTAATGCATTTATTTTTCATATCTTTATTTATATTGTTACCGTGGGATGTTTTTCTATGTCCCCATATACTATATCTGATTTATAGTGGGATGATTGATGAATCCCTACTACAATTATTTGTCTCTAACAAATTGTTTACTTTTAATTTAACTCAGTATACGATAAATTTATTTGTCCACATTCAATTATTGCTTTAGTTATTTTATTTTGAATTATTTTAATTTTAACAATTATATATTATAAATGTAATTATACTTTTATGTATAAAAATACGTATATAACAGCTATTTTTAACGAATATATTAACGACTATATAACAGCCGAAATCTTAAATCTTCTCTATAAATACATCATTTCTAAATCTCATTTACACACCTTCACAATATTCTCTTTCTTTCTCTTCTTAATTTTTCAAGAAAAAACATGTCTTTCCTTTCTCTCTTTATCTTGATAATATTTAGTATATCTATTGTTATGATCTTTAATTTAGAAGAACGCGATAATTATATTTTTCATTCAGGTGTACTTATAATATGTATTTTACCATTGTCCTTCATTGTTATATTTACTAAATAAATTACTTTAGCTAAAACTATGTTTCTTTTGTGTTTTATTTAGCTGCAAAATTTCTTCCAATTTGTCAAAGCTCGAATTCGAAGTTCTTAAACACACAGGAACAAGCTAGCTGTCATGGAAAACAGATGTGGAAAGCCATCTGGAATCAAAAGGGCTTTCGGACACCATACGTCCTGATAATAATGAATCTCCACAAAATAAAGCAATTACATATTGATGATGGTGTGAAATCTGGTTATTATATGTCACAGATTCTTTTGTTATTTGGAAGGATCTTAGTGCGAGATTTGATAATAGGAAAGAGATACTGTTAAATATTGCTGATGAAGAATGGAGAGCACTTAGATTTCAAGACTTTAAAAGGTTGATGAATGTAATTCAACAATGTTTAAAATTGTTTCACAGTTGAGATATTGTGGACGTGAAGTCACTGATGCTGAAATGATACATAAAAATATATCCACATTTCATGATGCTAATGCTACTTTTGTATCTACACACAGATTGTTGAAATATAAGACTTATTGTGATCTATCTTATACACTTCAGTGCAAAGAAAAAGATCAAGAGCTTCTAATGAAAAATCATCAGTCTATACCCATAAGTTCAATGGCATTTCTAGAAGTAAATGCTATAAATACTCATGGACCCAAATCATATAATAACCATGGGCGAGGCCGAGGCCGTGGTCGTGGTCGTAGCCAAGAAAAAAAATCAAAATTTTGTTCATTTCAATGGCTGATACTTATTGCTTCCATTGTGGTGGCACTAATTATTGGGCACGAGTATGTCGTACGGTATCACATTTAGTTGAATTGTATCAATCATCAAAAGGAAAGGGAAAAGAAAAGGAAGTTAATCTCAATGAATGAGAATGGGGAAACACATTTGAATGCTTCTAATTTCGCTGATGATTAATTATGCTGATAATTGAGACATAAGTGGTTATATGTTATTGAGTTCGTACATTTTTGTTGATGAAATAAATGTATTTGTAATATCGATTTGAAGTTGTATCATCGTATTGGATTATAAAAAATTTATGTAAAATATCCATGTTTGATGTTTTTCCTTATGATACTTGTTGATTATTTATTTTTCTATTTTGAAGTCTTGAAATGGATCATAGTGGAACTCAACTTAAAAGCAGCTTTGGTGATTTTTGTATATATGAAAGTGACACTACACATACTATCTTGAAAAATAGAAAGTATTTCACGAATTTAAACCAATAAAGGCAATTGTGTATACAATATCAGGTCCTGCAGACATGATTGAAGGAATTGACAAAGCCAAAATTACATTGCCTTAGGGAACAAAATTTGTGATCGATGAAACTTTGTTCTCACCAAATTCCGGTAGAAATTTGTTGAGTTTTGATGATATCTACCGAAATGGGTATGATACACAATCTATGACTAGAGTTCGTGTAAAATATTTGAAAATCATTAGTTATGAGTCTGGAAAGATTCAAACACTTGAAAGGTTACCACTCTCTAATAGTTTACATTATACATACATTGAATCAAACATGACAATGAAACCAAAATCCTTGGACCATTCAGTGTTAAATTTATGGCATGAAAGGTTAGGCCATCCAGGTTCAATAATGATGTGAAAGATAGTTGAAAATACAAATAGACATCCATTGAAAGGACAAAGTATCCTCAAAGTAATGAATTACCACGTACAACTTGTTCTCTTGGAAAATTGATATTGAGACCTTCACCACCAAAATTCCGAAATGAATCACCTATGTTTTTTTGAGAGGATACAAGATGATATATGTGGACCAATACATCCACCATGTGGACCATTCATATATTTTATGGTTCTAATAGACACATCCAATAAATGGGCTCATGTATGTTTATTGTCAACCCAAAATGTTGCATTTGCAAGATTTTTAGCTCAAATCATTAAACTACGAGCTCAATTTCCTGATTATACAATAAAAAGGGTCAGACTTGATGATGCTGGTGAATTTACATCTCAATCATTTAATGATTATTGTATGTCTACTTGAATCATTGTTGAGAATCCTATTGCTCATGTACATACACAAAGTGGTTTAGCAGAATCATGGATTAAAAGACTGCAACTTATTGCTAGGCCATTAATTATGAGACCAAAGCTACCTGTTTCTATTAGGGGCCATGCAGTATTACATGCTAATTCACTGATTAGAATAAGGCCTAGTGCGGATCATAAATACTCCCTATTGCAATTGGCACTTGGATTTGAACCAAATATTTCACACCTTAGAGTTTTTGGTTATGCAGTATATGTACCCATTGCACCACTCTAACGCACAAAAATGAGTCCCCAAAGAAGATTGGGGATATACGTTGGGCTCGAATCACCTAACATAATTAAATATATGGAACTTTTAACATGTGATATTTTTACAACACATTTTGCTGATTGCCAATTTAATGAGGTTATTTTCCAAAATTAGGGGGAGAAAGAAAAGAAGTAGTAAATGATATTGCATGAAATGAACCATCATTATTGTATCTTGATCGTTAAACAAAGCAATGTGAAACAGAAGTTCAAAAGATTGTGCACTTGCAAGCAATTGCAAATCAATTGCAATTCCAAATCAATTTGCAAGATACTTTTACTGATACAAAAAGAATGACTAAATCACATATACCAGCAGTTAATGCTCCTGCTCGTATTGAAATATCATAAATAAAATCTGAGGATAAAATCTGTCAAGAGTCTAAAACACGTTTAAAGCTTGGAAGACCAATTGCTTCAAAGGATAAAAATCCCCAAATAAGAAAGAGATCAAAAAATAATGTCAATGAAAATGTACTTGGAAAAACAAAAGGCAAAGAAGATCCCCCAAATGAAAATATTGAAAAAGGGAGTGACGAAATCTCAATCAATTATAACAGTACAAAGATGCTGTGGAATATAGATAAAATTGAATATAATTATGAGATTTTCTCTTCAGCTATTTCATGTGAATTTATGAATGGAAGTGACGATCCTGAACCAAAATGAGTTCTGGAATGTTAAAATAGACATGATTGGCTAAAGTGGAAAGACACTATGCAAGCTGAATTAGATTCGCTTAATAAGCGAAAAGATTTTGGATCTATTATTTTTACACCCAAAGATACAAAACCTGTTGGATATGAATGTGTTTTTGTACAACAATGAAATGAGAAGAATGAAGTAACTAGATACAAGGCTAGACTCGTAGCTCAAGGTTTTTCACAAAGACCTGGAATTGGTTATGATGAAACGTATTCTCCGATTATGTATGCAATTACGTTCAAATTCTTAATCAGTTTAGCAGTTTCTGAAAAATTAGAAATGCGTCTTACGGATGTTGTAACTGATTATTTGTATGAATCACTTGATTGTGATATTTGAATGAAAATTCCTGAAGGATTTAAGATGCCTAAAACTTCAAGTTTGAAACCCAAAAGAAATGTAATCAATTTAACAAAAAAGATTATTATATGGGTTAAAGCAGTCTAGATGCATGTGGTATAATTTTTTAAGTGATTATTTGACAAATAAGGGTTACACCAATAATGCTATTTGTCCATGCGTTTTTATTAAGAAAACAGCATCTAAATTTGTTATTATAGCTGTCTATGTTAATGACTTGAACATCATTGGAACACATAGAGAAATTGATGAAGTTTTTGTATACTTAAAGGAAGAATTTGAGATGAAAGATCTTGGAAAAACTAAGTATTGTCTAGGTTTACCAATTGAATCTATGCATAATGGAATATTTGTGCATTAATCGAATTACACTAAAAAGATCTTAAAACATTTTAACATGGAGAAAAGCAAATCCTTTAAGTACTCCAATAATTGTCAGAACACTTAATGACGAAAAGGCTCCATTTCGTCCTACTAAAGATGATGAAGAGATTCTTGGTTCTGAAGTACCATATCTGAGTGCAATTGGAGCTCTTATGTATCTTGCTAATTGTACGAGACCTTATATTTCTTTTGCAATCAATTTATTAGCAAGACACAGTTCATCCCCTACCAAGAGACACTGGAATAGAATCAAGTATATATTTCGTTATCTTCGAAGAAGTATTGATTTGGATTTATTTTATTCTAACAACTCAAAACAAGAGTTAATTGGTGATGCAGATGCATGTTACTTATCTGATCCTTACCATGGAAAATCGTAGACTGGTTATGTGTTCACATATGGAGGAACTGCAATTTTTTGACGTTCCCAGTAACAAGTAATAGTGTCTACTTCTCCATATCATGCAGAAATTATTGCATTATATGAAACAAGCACATCAGGACCTCTTGTGGTTTTCCAGTAGATAAAATTCTAGCGAGTTTGTATAAAAATAATGCAGCTTTTATTAATCAGTTGGAAGAATAATATATCAAGAATAATCAAACTAAGCATATACTTCCAAAATTCTTCCGATATACCAAAGAGCTCATGAAGAATGATCACATTCGTATTTGATATGTCACATCCAGTGAAAACTCAGCTGACTTATTCACGAAGTCACTTCCTACAACACTTTTCAGAAAACATGCTCATAACATCTCAATGTGTCATTTACACAACATGTGAGAATTACCGATGTTATCATCAGGGGAAGATAATCACGAGCTGTACTCTTTTTCCCTTGGCTAATTTTTTCTCCCACTGAATTTTTATTTTAGCAAGGTTTTTAACGAGGTAGTATTACTAGCGTAATTTATTTTGACAGTCAAGGGAGAGTGTTAGAAATAAATGAATGTCAAAAATTTTCGAAGATGTTCACCCACTGAATGTTTACATTAAATGTAAAAGAAGAAAATTGAGCATTGTTGTCTATCAAATTTGCCTATAAATAGGAATGCTCAAGCAATGAAAATTTTGCATTAAATGAATCATTTTCTCCTTTCTCTTTCTTTTGGTTCACAAAGTAAAAATTACTCCGTTTTATTTTCTTCTTAAATCTTAATATTTATATCATAATATATAAAATATTATAAAGTAATTATATTAAACTCTGTAGTAGAGAAGTTAAAATATCATCACTAAAATAATTAATTAGTACTTTTACTTTGAATCATTGTATTTAGACCTAAGTTTTATAATAGAGCCTAAAATTTTTTTGGGTCCGAACTCCCAATTATATGTATAGTGAAGAGAAGATATTTATGGAGAAAAATGACTTAAATGAGTTTGTAAATGCTTCGATAAGATGACTTGAATTTGGGACAAATTGAAAAGGAATAGAAAGTTAACCCAAAAGTACGAAAAATAGAAAAGAAATATATGGATCGAAATGGAAAAGCCTAAAAAATTTTGTCCTTTCTGAGTAAATTTTTTTTAAGGTTTTAATCATTATTCTTCAAAAGGCTTTATACAACAACTCTACTCCTAGAACAACATCCAAAAAAATTAATGGCATAAATATTTAAAGACTGGAAAATGATACATATAGGGAAAAACGTGTAGTGAAATAGAATAGTGACTGATGCGGTGCATCAATAAATACATAACAATCCCGGGGTCGTTCGGCCAAAAGAAAATAAAAGAATTGATGTGGACAAAAAAAGTTTTACTCTAATTTTGGTAGACATAAGTAGTTGTCCCGGATTTGGGAAATCCGAGAGACTAATTAATCAGACTTTCGGATTTCCCTAATCCGAAACCATTAAATAATAAAATATTATTTATTTTTGTTATTTTTCAAATTTTGGAAAATGGTGTCAAAAATTGAATAGTGAGCTCGGATTTGGGAAATCTGAAGCCTTCAAAATATAAAATTCCAAAAAATTCGACAAAATTGGCACATGAATTCAAAGTTGGTAACAGTGACTTCAGATATGCCAAATCCCAGGTTTAGGGTTTAGGGTTCAGTGTTCGAATTTGGCAAATTCGAGGTTTTTCTTTCGGATTAGGGTAATCCGTCCTAGTGGATAAGGTTGTTGGATGTCTTAAATCGGAGCGGATAAGGTGACGTAGAATCGGATTTGGGTAATCTGAGAGTACTTATGAATAGTTTACTCTCGGATTTCCAAAATCCGAAACTGTCGTGATATAAAAGTAAAAGTTGCAGCCTCCCTTCTTATAAAAAATTTCATTTTCTGAGGGTTAAGGAAGGTTTTGGCCGAAGATTCCAGGCTTTTGGACGCCCATTATCGCTAAATGCAACAAAATTTGTTATTCTAACGAGGTTAGTCATTAAATTAATGTTTTGTAGTTGTTTTGTTATGTAGTTATATGGTTTTGAAGATGGAAGATTGGTAGGGTTTAGGATTTATAGTTATGAATGTAATGTGGTAATGTAGATGTTGTTGTTGAGTTTATAAGTTAGAATTGTTGTTGTTTTGAGAATTGATTGAGGTTAATTTAATGAATTTTGGTGAATTTTATTTGGATGAATTTTGGGATTATGATTTTGATTTTGTTGAATTATGAATGTAATGTGTATATTGTAGATGTTGTTGTTGAGTTTTTAGGTGAGAATTGTTGTTATTTTCACATTTGATTGATATTAATTAAATGAATTTTGGAGGATTTTGTTTGGATGGAAAATTGATAGGGTTTAGAGATTATGATTAATATAGTAAAAGATTTTTTTTCCCCTCAATAAAAAGTTAAAATGTCTGTGCATGGGCCATACATACTCAAATTGTTTCATAGAAGCAAGTAGGTGATAGAGAATTGTCGAGGGTAAATCCCGGAGGCGTGGAGTCAACGGTCCAACCTGAACGGGAACCTGCAAGACGGGGGTTAGCACTCCGAAGATTAAGTTAGTGCTAGAGAGAGAAGCAGGCAATTAACACGCTTAGAGATAGAAACGGTCGTGTGGAATTGCCTTTGCAATAAATGTACAAGGAGTATTTATAGGTCCCAAAGGGACAATACCTGTGGGCCCCCACGTCAGGGGGGCAAATGCGTAAATGATCCCAATTAACCTCCAAAGGAGCCGGTTGGGCCTTCACGGGGAAGAGATGGACAGTTTGGGCTTATATTCGGGCACAAACCGTGGGATCGATTGGGCCGGTCAGGTTTTGACCCCCAACAAGTGCCCCTGTCAAGCCCAGTTTGGCAAAGCCGAATGGGGCTTGACACGAAGGAATTCTGGGCCCAATGGATCAGCCCATTTTCCAGAACATACGGATGTGGTGCGCCCTAGATCCAATGCTCCTGGATTCTTCCCGCCCAAACCTATTGTCGCATGTGATTATCTGGGAACCTGCACTGCAATGATGGCGCCTGGTGGAGAATCGAGGGGACTGTTCAGTTCCCGTGGAATATATAAATCCTTCACAGGGCACCTGACACCATTTTCCTTCTTTTTCCGTCCAGACTCAAAAAAGCACGACACTTCTTTCATCTCCTTTTTTGCAAAGCGGTACAGCGATAACGCCCAGTACCAGAACTTACGGCCAGCGGTCACCAATCTTGGTTTCAGATCAACCAGCAACGTGTAAGTCTTTTCCCCTTCCTTGGATTCGTTTTCTGATATGGCTAAGAAAGTAGTCAAAGTAGAAGACGATCAATGTTCGTTGAACCAGGATAGATTAAATGATTTAGAAAACTATTATAGCCTTACGGCCATCCATCCCGTCTTGCCAGCGAGCTTTGAAAGAGCCCATACTCCCCCTCCGGGGAAAATCACCATTTATGAGAAGTTCTTGGAGTATGAACGGCATTTTCCCCTCATGCCTATTATAGAATAATAGTAGAAGCCTACGGCAAACCTCTAGCCCAATATACCCCCAACCTTATAACCATAGTGTTAGCCTTCATCCATGTGTGTAACAAGGCGAAGGTAGAACCGGATCTCTTCCTATTTAGATGCTTGTATAAGCTCATCCGATGTGGGAAGTGTTTTCCCGGGCGGTTCAGCTTTACTAAAAACCCCAATGGTCCTTCTAAGGAATTGGTGCCTAAGAACGAAAGTTCTAAGCACTGGAGGTCGGGCTTCTTTTATGTGGGCTTGGATTTGGCTGACCTTTATCCGTGGAAGCCGGACCAAGGAGGAAAAGTCAGCTTAGACCCGTGGACCAAAAAGGATAAGAAGAGATGGAGGCCAGGAAAGCAGACCTAGAGAAACTGGTCGGGTGGAAGAAGACTTGTAAATATACACAAACCGAGTCATTGAGCGACACGATCAGCTCTCGTAACCAAGGTATTTTATCCGAAGACTAACTTTGGCTATTTTCCTGTTGGTAGGTAGATTTGCTAACCTGATGGGTAAACGCTCGACTTTTGATGATTCAGACGAGGAGGAACCATCTCTAGAGAAAAGGCAACAAGAAGCTCCTCAGCCCATAGTGGGACAAGCACCCGCTAGTCAATTGACGAGGGCGCACGCAGAAGGGTCGAGGAAGAGGACACTCTCAGTCCAAGCCGCGGCCCATCAAAAGAGAAAACGAGGGACACCTGAGGTGGTAGAGGTCGACCCTTTGTCGTACAGCTTGCCCTCAATCCACGAAATGTGCTCCGTCGACGAACTATTGAAGGAGGGGTACGAAGATCAAGGGCAAGAAGCGGGTCACTTCGAGAGTATACCTAAGGGTCATGCCCTACTGACGTTAGACCCCCCGCGGGTCGAATGTGCAGATGTGCCGACCTCAGATATGCCCCAACTGGAGGATGGCATGAAGCAAGTCCCCTTCCCTCGTCTTTAAGTTTAACGCACTCGAGGGTACACCCTCCTAACCAAAATCCTCTTCGTCGGACAGTCCGTGCAGGCAATTGGCTCCTTCGTGACTGTGTGCATGAACCTGGTGCGACAGCTAGCCTCGGCTAGGAGGAAAGCCAGCACTAAAACATCTAAAGCAAGGGATGCCGAGGCGCGGCTCCAGGTCTTAGTGGAAGAGAAGAGGCGGCTGAAGGAGGACCTCTCAACGATGAAGGGGCAATTGGAGGGTGAGGCGGCGGCCCACAACCTTCAGATCGAGAACCTTCGGGCGACGACCATTCCCAAGTCCGACTTGGACAAGTACATCCTCGCGGGGGTGCAGAGGTACTTGGTGTCATCTGAGTTTGCCCTCGGTATCAACGACGTCATGGACCCCGCGATGGAAACAGGAGCTAGGAAGGTCGTCTTGGAGATAGAGGCGGCCCGAAGGAATGACGAGGACATCCAACCAATCCTCGACAAGTATGCCGACAGGGTGATGAAAGGAAGGACGTCCGCGGTAAGGCTGCGGTGCAAGGCGCGAAATCGCGATATGAATTTTGTCTTGCTTCCCGTAATGCAGCAGATTACCAAGGCCTGCCCCTCCGTCTCCAAGCTCGAGGACATTGATGGTATTCCTGGTAGCCCTTCGTTTGTCTTTCAGATGCCGAGGGGAATCCAAACGCCCCCGGGGACACCGCCAGGGCCGGATGAGGAGCCGGAGGCGGTAGAAGCTGCATCACCCCCAAGGGGAATAATTCCAGGAGCAAGGCGGGGGCGGTACTTTGACCGACTCCAACACTAACAGCGGGGATAAGGTGAATGACGCGTAGGGTTAGGTCTTATGTTAGAGACTACCTTTTTCCCGTTGTAACACTTTTATTGATTTGAGTTCAAATCAATTTTAATTTGAATGATTAATGAGTTTTAATTTCGACAAACGCCAAGTTTTTATCCTTCAACTTAATTTACTTGCAAAGTTTTTCATTGCCCATGCTTCCTAACTCCCTAGTTTACACGCGCTTCCTGTGTTTAGGGGAAGGACGTGGCTTCGGGCTTACCCAATCCACTCGAGGGAACCTCTGAAGACGTACCTGCAACCCCGGGTAAATGGGAAACATCCGGAATCCCCTGGATCGACCTACAGCTACCCGACCCCCATTTTGATGCGACAGCCTTTCCCCTTTATGCGGCCGTTGGGGGGGCTTTGGTGGATCCGCCTCCCGACCGAAGTCGAGGGAGGCTGTCCGGTTTGGAGGGCCAGCTGGGAGAGGCTTTGGAGGCATACAGGGCATCGGAATTGTGCGAGGCCCGCAGGGCCGTTATAGAGGCGAAGTCCGAGAATGATCGGTTGGACAAGTTCTGGAGGGACACGGAGGCCTATTGGGAAGGCCGCCTAAAGAACTCCATACAGTTTGAGATGTTAGCCAACAATCGTCTTTGGAAGTTTGAGGCTAAGATCCGAAAGAAAAAGAAGGACGACGGTTTGCCTGAGCCCGACCCCGAGGACTTTATTCCCCGCAACTATTTCGAGAGTGTTTTGGTACATCTCCGGAAGGCTTACCCCCTAGTTGCCGTAAGGTGGGATCGGTCCTCTGACAAAATAGAGTCCCTTCAGGCGTACGCTGGTCAGCTTCGGACAGCATTGGAAAGCGCAATTTTTTTTATTGTGGAAACAGGAAAGGAGTATGATTTCGGGGCGCCCGACCCCTGCCCCGCAATGCGAGATGATCCCGCTTCCCCCACTCGCGAGGCCGAGCGTCTGATATATGAAAACGACGCCCTGTTTCATGAATTAGGTCAAGGGTCACAATAGGGACCTATTTAGGCCGTTTTTGATATGATTTTGTCAACTGTAAATATCCGAAGGCCGCACCTTCGAGGATACAAACATAAATAATTGATCCATATTTTTGAAAATCGACCCTACTTTCCCATTTTTCCTGCTTTCCTCCTTATCTATCTTATTATCGGTAGAGATCTTATGGTTGCATATATAAAATTCTATACCAGGCTAGTCCGATGATGATGCTCTTCCCGACAACCCAAGGGTGGTGATATGAGTACTTTCCCTCGGATTTTATATTTCAAACAATAAATCCTGTATTAATAAGATTGAAATGATTTGGCCAACTAATCGGAGGGATCTTACCTTATCGAGGATCAGCCTGAATTTATTTATGCTCCGAGATCGCGGGGACCGTAGGAGTCCCATAGGCTGCGGAGGCCACGCGGTGCTGTCGGCCACTAGGGTCAAGATGGGCTTTTTAAAGGCTCCAAGGTCGCAGGGACCGTAGGAGTCCCGCGGGCTGCGGAGGCCACACAGTGCCTTCGGCCACTGGGGTCGAGACGAGTTTTTTAAAGGCTCCAAGGTCGCGGGGACCGTCGGAGTCCCGCAGGCCGCAGAGGCCACGTGGTGCCGTTGGCCAAGTCGAGACGGGCTTTTTAAAGGTTCCAAAATTGCGGAGACCGTAGGAGTCTTGCAGGCCATGGAGGCCATGCTGTGTCGTCGGATGGACTTTTTAAAGGTTCCAAGGTCGCGGGGACCGTAAGAGTCCCGCAGGCCGCGGAGGCCATGCAGTGCCGTCGGTCACTGGGGTCGAAACGGGCTTTTTAAAGGCTCCAAGGTCACGGGGACGGTAGGAGTCCTGCAGGCCACGGAGGCCACGTGGTGCCGTCGGCCACTGGGGTTGAGACGAGATTTTTAAAGGCTCCAAGGTCGCGGAGACCGTAGGAGTCCCGCAGGCCGTGGAGGCCACGCAGTGCCGTCGGCCACTGGGGTCGAGACGGGCTTTGTATGGAATGGAATTTTCAAGTACATGGGGGGAATCCGTATATTAACAACAAAATCGGATACATTCCCGGCTTTCGGCTACAACTATTACAAAAGAAGGCGGCGGCCCTTAAACATGGAACTTCTTAAGATTTTGGATGTTCCACCATCGGGGAATATTGCGAGGCTCGTCGTCATACGTGCTCAAGCGATAAATTCCCGAGGAAAAAACTTCCACCACCTTGTACGGCTTTCCCAATTTGGAGATAACTTTCCCGTTGGTTCAGCATGGCTGGCATCGTTCCGTCTGAGGACCAGATCTTCGACTTCAAAGTCCCGAGCCCGGACCTTGGCGTTGTAGTATTTGGCCATAAGTTGCTTGTATTTAGCTTCACGGGCCTTGGCCAGGTCCCGTTTCTCGTCCAAGAAATCAAGGCAGAGGCGAACTTCATCTTCATTCATTTCCTCCACGAAGTTGACCACCCGAGGGCTGGACACCTCTATTTCGGTCGGGAGAATGACTTCCATGCCGTAGACGAGGCTGAAAGGGGTTGCCCCCGTGGCCATTCTCAGGGTAGTGTGAATGGCCCAGAGGACATGAGCCAATTCTTCGGGCCATCGGCCTCCAGCTTGCCGAAGCCGCGTCTTCATGCCCTGCAAGGTAGCCTTGTTTATACTTTCGGCCAATCCATTGGCTTGAGGATGGGCCACAAAAGAGAACCGCTGCTCAATTCTGAACTGCTCGCACCAGGATTTGAAAACACCCGACTCGAACTGCATTCTGTTATCTGATATCAGCACCTTCGGGATTGCAAACTGACAGACGATGTTCTTCCCGAAGAACTTGGCTACCTTCGCCCCAGTGGTAGAGGCCAGAGGCTCCGCTTCAACCCATTTAGAGAAATAGTCGATGGCGACTATTACAAACTTGAGTTTACCCGGGGCCACTGTGAAAGGCCCAATGATATCTGTCCCCCACTTATAAAACCACGGGCTCCTAATTCGGATCATCTCATGCAGGGGAAGTCGCGGAATAGGGGTGTGCTTTTGGCATTGCGAGCATCAAAGGATAATATTGTGGCAGTCCTGGGACAAGGTCGGCCAGTAGTATCCAGCGCGGATCAGTTTCTTGGCTAGGTTGCGTGAACCCAAATGAGCTCCACAGGCTCCTTCATGCATACTCCGGATCAGTATCTCCTTCTCCTGTGGTCCGACACAGCGCAACAGTGGAGTAAGATACCCTCGCTTGTAGAGGATGCCGTCCCGCATCAAGTAACTCGGCGCCTTGAGTCGCACCCTCCGGGCTTCCCTCGGCTCAGGAGGTAGCACACCATTTTTTAAATACTGGACAAAGGGTGTCATCCAAGACGCCTCGTCCAGCGTCACCGTCAAGATTTCGCCGGCTTGGACGCTCGGGCATGACTTGACCACCATATGAATTCGTTGAGTAAGATGCGCGGCATGCGAGGAGGCCAGCTTGATCAAGGCATCAGCGCGCGTGTTAATGGATCCTGGAATATACTGGTTTCGGAAAACGTAAAAGCCACCTTCTAACTCTCTGACCTTCTGAAGATACTTTTGGAGAGCCACCTCTTGGACCTCGTATAGTTTAAGAATGTTGTTGACCACCACTAGGGAATCGCTGTAAATGGAGATTTCTTGAACATCGAGTGCGCGGGCGACTGACAACCACGCAATTAGCGCCTCATACTCCGCCTCATTATTTGTAGTGAGAAAATCCAACCGGATGGCGTAAACGACTTCCGACCCGTGGGGATCAACTAAAACTACACCCACGCTAGAACCTTCTTTGGAGGAGGATCCGTCGACGAACAGGGTCCACATCCGCGGACCATGCGGAGGAGATTCTTCAAAGGTTGGGTCCTCCTTGGTGGCCTCGACTCCTACTTCTCGAGGGACCTCGACAAGGAAGTCAGCCAAGGTTTGGCCCTTGACTGAGGTCCGGGGTCAAAATTCTATGTCGTGTTCCCTGAGTTCCACAACCCACTTAGTCATTCTGCCCGACATGTTGGACCTTCGGAAGATCTGATGCAAAGGCTGATCCGTAAGAACTAGCACTGGGTGTGCCTGAAATAGGGGCGCAACTTGCGGGCCGCGGTCACAATGCAAAGGATCAACTTTTCTGGGGGGGTGTATCGAGACTCAGCGGGTAGAAGGACCTTGCTGACATAATGGATAGGGATCTGTTTTCCCTTACACTCTCGAACCTAGGTCGCATTCACAGTCGATTCCCCTACCGCCAAGTACAGAATCAGCGTCTCCCCCGGGTCAGACGTGCTCAAGGTCGGGAGAGTATTCAGGTGATCCTTGAGCTCCAAGAAAGCTTTCTGACAAGCTTCGGTCCATCTGAAGGTATCGGACTTCTTGAGAACCTGAAACAACGGAAGGCTTCGTTCGGCAGCCTTCGACAGAAATCGCCCTAGGGCGGCAATGGATCCCGTGAGCTTCTGTACTTCTTTGATTGTCCGAGGAGGTTGTATATCAAGGATGGCCTTGACCTTGGAAGGGTCCACATCGATCCCCCTTTGAGATATTTGATAACCCAAGAATTTCCCTGACCCGACACAGAACACACACTTCTTTGGATTCAACTTCATGTTGGCAGCTCTGAGGGTTCGGAATGTTTCCAGGAGGTCGTCAACCACCATGTCAATCCGACGACTTTTCACCACCATTTCGTCCACATAGACTTCTACATTTCTTCCCAATTGGGACCCGAAGACACGGTTCGCCACCCGTTGGTACGTGGCACCAGCGTTCTCAGCCCAAAGGGCATCTTCACATAGCAGAACACACCCTTTTCGGTGATGAAAGCAGTCTTCTCAGCATCATCCCCGTCCATAAGGATTTGATGGTACCCCTTATATGCGTCCAAGAAGTTAAGTAAGGGATATCCCGAGATAGCGTCACCCTTCTGCTCGATTGCTGGAAGGGGGTAACAATACTTAGGACAGTGTTTATTGAGATCCTTAAAATCCAGGCACATACGTCTGCGACCCCGTCATCCAAGGGACCAGAGCCATCGTTCTCCTGATCCTCATCCTCCTCAGAAACTGGAGCCTTTTGGATGGCTCCGACGGTTGCCTCTCTAAGGAGGAATTCGCACCCCTTCCGAGTGGCAATCATCATGCACTGTCGAGCCAACTGTTGATCACCCCGAACCTCTGCGACCCCGGCATCGGTTGGAAACTTCAAGACCAAGTAGTATGGAGAATAAATGGCCTTGGCCTGACTCATCCACGACCGTCCCAGGATAATGTTAAAGGGAGCTACAACGTCCACCACCGCAAAGTCGACCATGATAACCCGATCCTCGGGAAACGTCCCTATGGTTAATGCCAGACTGATTATGCCCAGGGGCATTATCACATGGTTAGAGAAGCTAACCAAGGGCATGGCCATGGGCCGGAGCTGGGTTTAATCGAGGCCCAACTTCTGGAAGCAATCAAAATACATGACATCGACAGCGGTACCATTATCAACATACACACGCCGAACTTCTCGGTTGGCCACAATGGCTGTAATAACCAAAACATCCAAATAATCCTCGGAACCACCCACTAAATCTTGTTCTGAGAAAGTAATCAACTCCTCTGGATGAAGCCTCTTAGCCTCGGATTCACCCGACGGACGAGGATGCCCACTTTTGTGGAGGGCAGAAATACTATGAACCCCCCAGAGCGCTCCGTATATAGCGCCCACAGGAGAGGCTAAAATCTGACGTGCCTGCACCGGGTTAACATCGTCCTGAGCTTTGGTCCCGTCACTAGCGGGGACCTGATTGGCAACTTTACCCTTGGCCAGCCATCTTTTCCTCAGACCCCTTCTGAACACAATCCTGGAACTTACCTGCCTTGAGTCCCTCTTCAATCTCCTTCTTCAACCGGTAGCAGTCTTCAGTATCATGTCCCTTGCTTCGATGAAAATCGCACCATTTGGAAGAGGACTCATTCTTATGGATTTGAAGAATTTGTCCGGGGGCGGAAGGTTGAACTCATTCTTATGGATTTGAAGAATTTCCT